CAGCCACCGGCAGAAACGGGAGCAGCGAAGAGATATTGTTGCGTTTCCCTCGGAGCCAGGGAGGCCGTGGAAGGGGTCTGGGGCGCCGCGTTTCCTCCCTGGGAGCGGGGTTCGCGGGGAAGCAGAGCCTGGGCACTTACCTGCGGTCTCACTCCGGGTTTCATCGCTGTCCTGTGGGAACCCTCTGCCTGTACACTTCTCCTGGGCTCCGTGGGCAAACAGACCACATTTTGTACTTTTGCAGCTGTGTGGCAGAATGAAATAATGATTCTTTTTATTTTCTGGGATAGTGGGAAATTAAAAAAATAATCAAGAAGTACAGCAAGGAAGAATTCTTAAAATCAGAAGCTGTAACTTAAAGATTGCCGGCTGTGCTGTCAGCAGCAGCAGTGTGAAGTTACAGCTTTCATCCATTTGTTGTACATTTTGGTCTCTTCCCTGCTACACGTCTGCAGGTGTGAAAGCTGCGGTGTGTGTCAGTGCAGTGGGAGAACGGGACACCGGAGTCAGCTGCTGCCATGGAGAACTGAACAGCAGAGTTCTCCCCTCAGTCTCATAGTGAGCTCTGGTCTAGACTTGAGGTATATTGAGCAAGTCCCAAGCTGGTAAATGTTCTGCCCAGACAGCAGTAGCAGTATTTACTCTGAGATTGTTTTGAGATTGTTTCTCTTGACAGTGAATTCTGATCTCATTGGAGATCACTGAATGTGAGGATTTGTTTAATAAGACTTGTAGCCTTTGAGCCATCTAATTAGAATGCACTTGAAAGCAGTGGGTGTCGTACTGGCTTTGGCTGCCTTAAAGGTGTGACTTACTTGACCATGCCGATGAAATAATTCAATTACTTGGAATGGGAAGTGTAAATCTTAGTATATCAGTTCAGTCTGCTCTTCATCTAACTTAGAAAGCCAAGTTCTGGGCAGGGATGTTATATGGAGTATTTAAAATGTGGTTTGAAAGATGTAGGTAGGAGAACATATATATGGCTAAAGATGCTTTCTGAAAAAGAAGAGGGAGTTGACTTTTTGGCAGAGGTCTGCCTTGTAATGGAGCAGTGTGCTGCGTGCTGCTGGGGGCCTGCTTTTCTAGGTGCCTGGATTGCAGTAGTGTGGTGTTTACAAAGCCATGAAACACTCAGGAATGGGACCATATGAACACGCAAAATATGTACCGAGTTGACTTTTCATCTCTTGTTCCTCCTGACATTCAAAGTTCTGGCCTTGGGTTTGTTTGTCTCAGATTGCAAAACAGACAAGACAGGTAACATCTTAAATACGCTGAAGTAGTCACTGACAGACACGATCTGTTTTGGCAGACAAACTCAAAGTTCTGGCCTTGGGTTTGTTTGTCTCAGATTGCAAAACAGACAAGACAGGTAACATCTTAAATATGCTGAAGTAGACAAACTCTCTGTTTTATTCTTTTTTTTTAATTGAGGATTCATACTTATAAGAAAAGAACAAAGCCCAAATCCTTTTTGGGAAACAGATCAAACTCTTGACAGTCACATTTCCACAAGTCTCTTTATCATGACTGAAGTAATCCACTTACAGGAAAAACCATGACAATGATATATAAGAGCCTAAAGCAGAAAGGGAGTTCTGATTTTGTCTGTTCTGATTTTCACAGATATTTTGAGGACATCATGAATTGGAATAAAGGTGGACCTGGTACTAAGAGAGGCTTTGGTTTTGGTGGATTTGCCATAACACCTGGAAAGAAAGAGGAGCCTAAGCTCTCTCAACAGTCTCATAGTGCTTTTGGAACAGCTGGTTCTTCTGCTGCATTTGCAAAATCTGGACCCCCTCAGCTGCCTTCTTTCTACAAAATTGGGTCAAAGCGAGCAAATTTTGATGAAGAGAATGCGTAAGTAGGGTTATTTCTTGTGTTTACTTAGCTCTAGATTTTAATGTTTTGAAGTTTCCAAGGTCAGGGAAAGTATCTGTGACATTTGTCTGTGAGACCCCACCTGGAGTACTGTGTCCAGTTCTGGGCCTGAACATCTCAACAAGTTGTCCTGTTTACACACTTTTATTATCCAGTGTGGGGAACTTAACTCAGAAACCATGAAAGACAGCACGGTGCTGTAGACTATATTTTTATAGTCTACAGCATATCTATATTATAGACCATTTTTAATTTCCTTTCAGGTACTTTGAGGATGAAGAGGAAGATTCCAGCAATGTCGAATTGCCGTACATTCCCGCAGAGAATTCCCCCACTCGCCAGCAGTTTCATTCCAAATCGGCAGATTCTGACAGCGATGACGATCCTCTGGAGGCATTCATGGCTGAAGTGGAGGCAAGACCCAGCTCGTGAAATGTTTATTAATTGTTGTGGCCATACTTCTCTTCAGTCAGGAGCAGGAAATGTCACTCATGGCTTTGGCAGCTGTATTCAGAATAAAAACTTTTGTTTTTATGTAAGATGCTGTGTTAATTAGAACTCAAAGGTGGATTAGATGGGGAGAGGGTAGATACAAGTTACAGCAGCTTAATTATTTAACTGTTTTGAGCATGTCAAGGCAATACAACAAAGAGCTTTGTGTGTCTCTGAATATGAAATTAAGGTTTTGTGCATTTTTCACTACCGGGATTGAAGTTATTTGTGTTTGTCATGAGCTGTTCCTTAGCTACAGCTCCGTTGTTAGCTGGATTCTATCACAGTGTTTTCAGGAGGAATGCGGAGAATGTATTTTTTCAACAGCATTGCTGTGAAGTTACACTATATGAATTTCAAAGGTATTAGTAGGAGAATTTATTTAGCATAATAGGATATGGAACAAGAGAAAGTTTAGTCCAAAAAGCGTTGTCTCTGTGGCACAGTGGTCTAGTTATGTAGGAACATTTTTTCCCTTCCATGTTTTATAATCTTGTTCTTTTTTAACCTGATAATTTTATGATCCTGTTAGGATCAAGCTGCTCGAGACATGAAGAGGCTTGAAGATAAAGACAAAGAAAAAAAGAACGTTAAGTAAGTTCTCTTTTATATTTCCCATGCCTGCCTCTGTCTTGTATGGTATTAAGAGAATTCCAGTGCATTTTGTTGATGATGATTGTTCTGTAGACAATATAGTATACACCAAGTAAACAGCATTAACGGGCACGTGATATCCCCCATGAGTAAAGTTCTGTGCAATGAAAAATGAATAATAGGAGGGAAGAATCCATAGTGGCATCCTGCAGTAAAATGTAACGACACAGAGTTGTCTCACGTGAGAAGCATTTCTAGGCCACACAAACTGGGACAGCACATTGTACTACTGCCACCTTCCAGATCAGCCTGAGCAGTTTTTCATCTTTCCCCATCCTTGCAGTGATCAGAATGGTTTGGTTTAAAATTGCATTTATGCAGGCAAAATAACTCAGTGCTGCTGTACCTGTAGTACTGGAGATTCTTCCAAGCTTGAACTGGGTTTTAAGACATTCCCTGGAAAGCTGATACATTAGGTAGCACGCGACAATTGGGGTACTAAATTTGGAGTTTAAAAACAGTTCACATTTTTACAGCTTATTGGTTTGTTTTGACCAAGGAAAATAATTACCCTGTAGATTCTTGATACAAATGTCAGATACTTTGGTGGAATTTGCATTGCATGGGGTTGATCAGATTATACATGGTCCCAAAACAGAACACCGGATCCAAATCACCAGCTGGGCAAGTTCTGAACTGGATTTGCACTTCCTGCCTCATATTCCTCTTCAGTTATGGGACTTCTGTAGCATCGAGAGCTTAGACCAGGATGATCTTTGATGTGGCTTCTACTGGGAAGACGGAGTCCTAATCTTTCAGTCTCATTAATAGAAGTAAAGAGAAGTCTTTGCAAGGGTCACTGTTATGGTTGGCACCAAATATGAAAACTCCATGGGCTGGGATTATAAATGTTACTGAGTTGCTAGTGTTGTGCCTTCCACGAAATATGGAGCTCAGCACTAATCAAATGAAAGTATGGAGCTGGGTATGTGGAACACTTGCAGGGAAGTTTTTTTTCTCCGCTTGTTTTTCCAGGGGTATTCGAGATGACATTGAAGAGGAAGATGACCAAGTGAGTTCCTATGCAGTCTTTCTATTTTCTTTTTTTTTCTCTTTTTTTTTTTTTTACCTTCCCTCCCCAGTATGTAACTACTAGGTACAAACAAAACTCCAGTATCATGCACAGTATCCGGACAATTCAGCTTTTTAGCGGGAAGCTGTAGTGGTTATCCTGCTGCCTCTACATGGTGTTTCACTAAAAGAAGGAAGAATATTAGGAGAAAATGTCTTTTTTACTCTAAGATTTTTTTCGGTCAATTTGAATTTCAGCTTCATGTAGAAGTTTCTCAGTATTTGAGGGTCTCATCCAATTTGAAATTAGAAGAATCAGCTGACATGGAGCACCAGTGAGAGGCTGTTCAACTGTGGAGAATATGTGCAGTGAAATTTCATGTCTGTTAAGGGCAGGAATCTGGCTTTTTGCTCTTTATTTTCAGAGGAGCTCCAGTTCTGATTGAGGATTGTAAGCATCGCTGTAATAGAAACAATAAACAAAGAGGAAAGACTTCATTTCAAAATGTAGCTTGCTATTAAGTTGTAATTAGTAATGCAAAGCAAGGAAGGGTTGTCTGGCCTCTAGGCCTTTGCCTCCAATTTGGTGAGTGCAGCTGTGCTAAAGTTTGAGCAAAGGTGACTTAAACTTGCAGACAGCTGGTGTTCAAGTGTATTGTATGGATATCTCTGGGATTGAGCGATAATTGGCCATGCAAATGAAAAAGCCAGATGAGTATATACATTTCTTTGTAATTGAACCTTGCTTTAAAAATCTGCTCTTAAATATCTGCCTGCAAGTCAAGCGAGACTGGTGTTTTCTCCAGGAGAATGTCTTGGTGTGCCAGTGAGATTCTGTAAGACACGTACAGATTTGTGAGCTGTGGCATGTTACAGTGGTGACAGTGACTTCTAACTTGGGCTTGTGTTGAAGGACTCTTCTGAAAGAGTTTTTTTCCCGTTTGCTGTTGTCTCTCTCACTGAAAAATAGATGTGTTTTCATTTCTTAGAGTCTAGTTAGGGGAAGTGGAGAAACTGTCTTTGGCATAGTGTGTTTAAAAAAATGTAAACGTCATCTGCTTAGTAACATTGTGCTCTTTGTTTAAAAACCTGCAGTGTTTGTACTTTATTCATGTGATTCGTAGATTCTTTTATTGTTAAAACATAAGTCTTGGTAGAAAGAGTTGTTAACAGACATGTAAGAAAAGAAGTTTGGTTTTTAAAATTTTGTGGTCTAACACTGTAGTTGTTTTCTTCATTTGTACTTATTGTCCTTCTTCTGGACATAACTGTTGGTATTTATTAGAAGAACCAGTTCTAGTGAACTTTTTTTTTCCCCTCAATGGTGGGTGTGAAAGCAAACAGCCATCTAGCATATACATCATTTAAACAAATGTAGCAGTATTTTTGCGTTCTGTTGTATGTGATTTTACTGATATGTTTTGCTGCAGGAAGCTTATTTTCGCTACATGGCTGAAAACCCCACTGCTGGTGTGGTCCAAGAAGAGGAAGAGGATAACCTGGAGTATGATAGTGATGGGAATCCAATTGCACCGTCCAAAAAAATCATTGATCCTCTTCCACCCATTGACCATTCAGAGGTAGGAAGTTTATTCCATGCTGTTCTGCCTGAGGCATTCTAGGAACAGGTGTTAAGAAGTAGATTGAAATATGGTTCCGTCCCTGTACTTCAGTGTTGGGAGCTAACATTTCAGTGCTGTGCCACCTGAGTTGTACTAAAGATCCTTCAGGTGGCTTCATATTAAACGCATGCTCTTGCAGATAATTAAGAACTTTTTCTCAAAAGGACCCTTGTCCTCCAAAACTAAGTGTACAGAGAGAGAATCTTGAGTCCTGGTCTAACTGAGTAATTGCCCTTGCAGATTGAATATCCACCGTTTGAGAAAAATTTCTATGACGAGCATGAGGAGATCACCAGTCTCACCCCGCAGCAAGTAGTGGAGTTACGTCATAAACTAAATCTCCGGGTAAGCTGGTCACAAACATATCCTCCTAGGATCTTCTTACTTCCATTTTTTTGGACTATCTTAGTTTTAATGGAGATTTTCACATGAAATTACAGCTGTTGAATACCAAGCCTCTTGGATGCCTTCAGTGACTTTGATTTAAGGGAACTTGGTTTTCCTCAGCAGTTCTTGAAAGTCTTCCCTGGACTTGTCAGAGCGGGCACCCAAGATTGCCAGTTGCATGGTTGCACTTGGACTAAAGAACTATGAATTGAAACTGAAAGTATTATACAGAAATTAATTCTGTGCCATTTGTGACGTGTCTGTTGATGCCTTTCTATGAAGGGAATTATTTGGAGAAGAAGGAGACCAGTTGTACAAGGAGGCAGATATGATGTTTAGTAGCTTATGTTGATTTGCAATTTATCTAAATTTTTATACCTGAAAGTCCTATTTATACAGCACATCTGGAATTTGCACCTAATTAAACTTGTCTATTCAAAAAATAAAAAGCCAGTTTTGAAGGTAGAGAGACACCTTTTTCCATTTTTTTTACAGATTACTCTTTGTTTTTCTCTTACTGTTCATTAACAAAGATATGTTTCTGTTTCTAAGGTCTCTGGTGCTGCTCCTCCGAGGCCTGGCAGTAGTTTTGCTCATTTTGGGTTTGATGAGCAACTTATGCATCAAATTAGGAAATCTGAATATACCCAGCCCACTCCTATACAATGCCAGGTGAGTGTTGTTACATCTCAGAAAACATGCGAAGGTCCCTAGTCCATGTGAGGATGTATACAATTCTGGTTTCCTATATAGAGCTGTCACAGAGCAGAATAATCTGTATTTTTCTAGGAAAATAGCATTGATATGTTTTATATAGAAGTTTACCAACTTTTTTTCTTGTTAAGTGACCACTGTAAATATATCCATATTCTTGTCTTCATTTGTCTCGTGGTGAAGACTGGAGAACATGTAAGTGGCATCTCTTGCTTGTAGGAGTGTAGGAAAGATTTTTTTTTTAAAGAAATTACGTTAAAAATAACCACAACAGGAGCTGAGTAAAGACCCATACATTAACAGCCTTATTCCTTTGAACAGCATGTATTTGAATGTCTTGTAACTAGAAGACATATCCAACAAGGCATTTTTAAAATTTCTTTTGGCAGATAATAAACGCCCTGAGCACTGGACTGTTTAACTGGTCATTCCTTGGAGAGCTGTGCATGCAAAAGGGATTCTGCTGCATGCGTAGATTGATTACCCTGAGTAATTAAGATTATCATTAATGTCATTATAACCACACCACTTCAGATGCTTTTCTTGAAGTATAAAAAATGTCATGGTGCTGTGTCCAAGGGAAGGGTGTTAGGACCTTAGTCCGTACTATTTGTAAGAAGCTGTGGTTGAGAGGTGCTTATAGCAACGGTAGGGATGAACTGAGGACTCCAGCACTCAGAGTGGGTACAGAAAGAACAGGCTCAGAGAACTTGTTTTTAGCATTCTTACAGCTGGGCAAGATGCATTTGTGGACATGTAAATATATCCTTGGGATGTTGTACTGTGCCCAAACATTGATTTCATATGGGACACCAACAGTCATAACACGGTAATTGCTTCCAGCCCTTAAAACAAACAAATTCAGAGCTGAGCTTGGCAATAAAACTGTGAAGCATCAACGCATGTTGCTGTAAGTCCTCTATAATGTGCTTTTCTCTTGTTATCTGAGTTTTCATGTAATGTCTAGCACAAAAATATGCTCAGGTAGGCATACTATGGGTTTAGAATCTCCTTATTTTTAGGGTGTTCCGGTTGCACTAAGTGGTAGAGATATGATTGGCATAGCGAAGACTGGAAGTGGAAAAACAGCAGCTTTCATCTGGCCGATGTTGATTCACATCATGGATCAAAAGGAGCTGGAACCGGGGGATGGTCCCATTGCAGTGATCGTGTGCCCGACCAGAGAGCTTTGCCAACAGGTGGGTGTATAGTAAGCATATATGTGCCATACAGTGTTCTTACAGAAGACAAAATTCAGGGCAGAAATTGGCAGAGAACCTCAGTAAACTGTTTAAAAAAACTACTCTGTGCATTAGTAGCACACCTCCAATGTAAGCTCACAATTCTCTCTTACACCTCTTTTTGTTGAAGGATCACAACAAATCTGAAATTTTTGCACAGCGCTCCCATATTATTTCTAAGTGTTAAGAATACTGTGGATGCATTGCCACAAATTGTATGTGCCAAAGGATGGATGGAGCCTGCAGGTTAAATTACAGTTGGATGCCTAAATAGGTTTCTCAAATTATTGGAAATTATCCAAATGTATTGGAGTATTCAGCCCTGAGGATTTCTGAATAATTTCATTGTTAGGTGAAAAGTGGATTTCAGGAGCTGGACTGTAGTTCCAAGGTTGGTATATTTTCTCAGATCTGTCTAGCCTGAGCTGTGATGTGTTTTGTTTCAAATTCTCAGATCCATTCTGAATGTAAGCGCTTTGGTAAGGCATATAATCTGCGCTCCGTAGCTGTGTATGGAGGAGGAAGCATGTGGGAGCAAGCCAAGGCCCTGCAGGAGGGGGCAGAGATCGTTGTCTGCACACCAGTAAGTACCTGTATGCACACAGTACAATTTTTTTGTTGCTTAACTGAAAAATTCTAATACCATTCGTGATGCAGAGTTTGTTCTCTGATCACTGAAATCTAGGTTCTTCACAGGTTATCAGATGTTGAGAGCAAACATGCTGGGATTATTTCTGTCTCAAGAGAAATTGAAAGAGTTTGTTTAAGTATGATTTCCAATAGAAGAGCAAGCAAGGCCTGCTTGAATCAGTGTCAGTTGTGTGCAATACCAGCCTCTGATTGCTGAGCCTTAAATTCATGAAGAAAATTCCCAGAATGTCATGAACTTGAGTGCCATCTTACTGAATCAGTGTAGAGCCCGTGGCACTAATACTGAAGAGCTGAAACCCTGAATCAGAGTGGGTGTTGATGCTGACCCAGTGATTTAGATGAGCACCATTGCCAACTGATTTCATCTGTTGCCAAAACTAGTTACAAACTTGAGCAAAACTGAGCAACTAATGGCTGGAGGAAGTTTTATGGTGGCTATTTTCTGGGGTACTGGGCAAGAAAACAAAGCATGAAGAACTCCTGCACCAAATGTTATGGGATTAAGTAGCTAGTTCACAATTGAAATTTAATTGTAATGAAGACTATGGAGTTATAGGATCTCAGCACTGTTAGCCCTGTCTCAGCACCTTGAAAATCTGTTTCTGTGACTTGAATACTGACAATTCTAGAGTGAAGCCTTGAGATGTCTTCCGTTCTGTCTCTAGTAAATGAGGATAAAACGCAGTTGAGTGCTTGAAGGTTGCATATATTAACATTTGTCAGAATACGCTTTAAAACCTTGGCTTTTTTTTTTCTTTTAATAGGGTCGTTTAATTGATCATGTGAAAAAGAAAGCTACAAACCTTCAAAGAGTGACTTACCTTGTGTTTGATGAAGCTGACAGAATGTTTGATATGGGTTTCGGTATGTAATGAGCAAAGGCCACTGTTTTGGAAAGCAGCAGTGTCTAGTTCCCAGCTTAGTAGGACTGTTCATAACCCCTGAAAATTAAGGAAATACTTTATAGACAAAAGCCGTATTTCAGGGTCTAATATCTGTTGCTATAAAGAGACCAGCAAAGTCCTGTTGATGTTGGTTGCGGAGTAACTTCTGGCCAAGTCACTTCTGTGCCTTGGTTCTGTGTGTACAAACTAGTGGTGGTAGAAGAACTTTCTGCTTAATTAGAAGAGGTTTGGTCATTCAGATCCGATGATTTTGAATATGTGCTCAAGCATCATGGGACATAGCAAGGATTTGACAGTGCTATAATACTACAAACGGAGGGAGACACTTGTAAGACGTACAGGGTATGCACAGACTCAGCTAGGATCTTTGCTTATGGGACTTTTCGCTGAAGGAACTTCCAAAAGTTTCTTTCTAGAGCAAAGGAACTTCTGTTGTGCAGCAAAGAGCAGCTGGAAGTCACGGTACGACGTTGAACACTTAGTGAGAGGCACTCATTGATTCTATGGTTATTTGTTAAATAAAAGCAGTAAAGTTGCATTTTGAGTGATTCTAAACAATGAGCGTACAATGGTGATTGGAACATTTTCTCTCTCCTTTCCAGAGTATCAGGTCAGATCCATTGCAAGCCACGTGCGTCCTGACAGACAGAGTGAGTATAAGCAGGTTTCAAACTAAACTGAGAGTCAGAGGAGGCTATAGGGTGGGCTCCCCATCAGGAATCTGGAACAGAGATTGGATTGCCTCTTCTTGACACAGACACGCAATAAGACTTCCGCGAGAGTCCGCGGGTGTTAATTCTCAGCGTGGGCTGTGGGGAGGGAGCGCCTGTGAGGGTGGTTAGACGCCTGTGCTTGTTCGTCAGTCTGTAATCCCTCCACAGACTTCACTCGGGGAAAAGGGGATTAGCTGAATTAGTGTTAGTGTGCTTTGAGATCCTGTGTCCTAAACTGCCATGAAGAACGGTCACAGCAGTGCCACTTATCATCCACATCTTGTTTCAGAAATGATGAAATGTGTTTCCACTCTGAGATACTCTAGTAGCACAATTGATAATTTTCATTAGAACCAATAAAACCTCCTGTAGCTTCAGATCACTGACATCTCGTACAGTTGTGTAAGTCCTCATTCACAAGATCTGTACAGTGTTAAAGAAAATTTATTTTTCAAGGAGCTCAAATTTTTTCTTTTAGCCCTCTTGTTCAGTGCCACTTTCCGTAAGAAGATTGAGAAGTTGGCTCGGGATATTCTGATCGACCCAATTCGAGTTGTGCAGGGAGACATTGGAGAGGTAATTCAACTTTATTGCTGAGACAAAGGATTGAACCATTCTGCTTCTGTTTTCTGAAATTTATGTTAAACTGCAGTAGTTGTTTATATTTAAGAGTACATACTTTGTGCTTAGCAAAAAATCGTGAGGTTTTGGTTTGGTTTTTAGTTATATTTAGCTTTTTTTCTGCCAACAAATATTCTTGTAGTGATGGGAGGTTTCATCAAGGAGAGAAACAATGTTAATGCAATGATTGATCTTTTTTTCTTAGGCTGAATCCATGGGTATATCCTTTTGTTTTAGCTGAAAACTATAAATTACAGCTTTTGCAATGAAGGATTTGAAACTTAGGCTGTAATGTCTTTCAGCTGGTTTATGTGGGAATGTTGATTCTATACTTGCTTGACACTAGCAGCTGATCTATTAGCAGACTGGGGATTTGGCAACAAATTGAAGAAGTGGGCAGGTGTATACTTGCTGTGAAGAAACTTTGCTTATTATATACATGAAAACTTGAGAAATTTTACAAGATGCCTTCAGAACAGTCTTCTTTTAACCACTTCTCTGCATTTTTTATTTTTTTCATCCAGGAATATGAGGTATCCCTTTATAACAAAAAAATTAATGGCTACCTGAAGCCCCTTCTTTCTGGGAAAATGTTTTTCCTAAACATTGCTTAAGAAAAGAAGAGGTGAAACCTCTTTAAAGGACAATTTTGGTCCCTTGATTCTCCACTTTTTATTCTCACACCTAGTTTAAATTCCTCGTTTCATTCTGCCGTCTGTGTGTTTTTGCCATACTGTCCTTTCTGTCCTGCATTATTGCGTGTCTTTATTTTTCCCCTCAGGCAAATGAAGATGTTACTCAAATTGTGGAGATTTTCCCCTCTGGCCCTAGCAAATGGAACTGGCTGACTCGACGCCTCGTGGAGTTCACATCTTCTGGGAGCGTTCTCCTGTTTGTCACCAAGAAGGCAAATGCAGAAGAGCTGGCCAATAACCTCAAGCAGGAGGACCATAATCTGGGGCTGCTTCATGGTGACATGGACCAGAGCGAGAGGAATAAAGTCATTTCAGAATTTAAGAAGAAGGGGATCCCCATACTGGTAGCTACTGATGTGGCAGGTATGTGATGTTCTAAGAAACAGCAGCTCATACAAGTTGTGGATATCAGCAGAAAGGCTAACACGTCAGTGGAAGGCAACAAGATTGGCCTCCACACCTCCTGGGCACTGGGTTCCAGCTGTTCTTTCAGAAGTACACAGTGTTAGCAAGGGGGTTTGTTTTTAAAGTCTTTTAATGACATTTAAATTACGGTCTGACATATTTTTTGATATACAGAAAGAAAATAAGCTCTTTAAATAGTTGCTGTTCGTTAATCAGCTGAGACATTAGGCGTGCTTAAATTAAGAGGAAATGGACACACTTGAAGCCTTCTCTAGAGCAGCTTTTGTACCCAGATATTGAGCTGAACAAAGTGAATTTCAGCGTCTCTTCTTGGAATAGCAGTCATTTCAAGAGATCTCTTCCATCTCCAATCCTGTGAACTTGGGGATTGCTGTGACTTACACTACTCTTGGAGAAGATGTTGCAGCACTTAAGATAACAAAGAGTTTGAGCCTATGAAGGGTATCTTAACTGGGGTGTATTCTGTGGAAACTCCATTTGTATGCTGGAGCACGATGAAGTCGTATGCTGTCGTATGAGTGGGATTGCTTTAGTTCATTCAGGATAATCGCACTTATCGCTCTGTTGTTCTTGATTACAGCTCGTGGGTTAGATATTCCTTCCATTAAGACCGTGATCAATTACGATGTGGCTCGGGACATAGATACGCACACCCATAGAATCGGCCGTACTGGCAGAGCAGGCGAGAAGGGAGTTGCCTACACTCTGCTGACTCCCAAAGACAGTAACTTTGCTGGTGATCTCGTCAGAAATCTGGAAGGCGCTAATCAACATGTTTCCAAAGAGCTGTTGGATCTAGCAATGCAGGTATGCACAAGGAAAACTCCTTGAGTAGAGGTAGGTTCCTTCCATGATTAACACAAAATCAGGAGCTCAGGGACTCATTTCTGGCTCCCTCATGTGTTTGCAGTGACTTTTTGGCAACCTATAGTCTTTTTAGGTAGGCTTCCTAGTGTTTTTAATGGCCTGTGAAAGAATCCATGAAGCCACAAAGATTTTTGGAACACAGTATGTAATCTGTTTTGGGGTCAGGCACTGCCTAGGAAATCAGGAGCTGTAATCTGGCTGATGCCAGCAGAGCGCTCTGGTGTCTCATTACAATCAGATTTTCAATGTGCACTTGTGGCAGGCACTTGGGAGATGCAGCTTAGTTGAAAGTTAAACTAGGAAATAATTATGGGAACGTTCCCTCAGTGAAACGGTTGTTGCGTGATCATTATACCTGCTTGGCAGTGCTGTCTGGCAGGCTTGCTATATATAGGTATGACGCAGAGCTGAAGCAGTTGTACTTGAGCCACTGCGCTCGTCATCTCTTTAAGTTCTTGATTTTTGCTGCCCATGTAGCTGCAAGAGAGCAAAGGCTTTTTGGTAATTCCCAAATCCATCCCAAAAGATGGATTAGCATGCTTGTGGCTTCATTGCCAGGCAGCTTGGGCACTGGCTGCCGGAAGTAAATATTTTTTCTGATGTACAGAGGCGGCATTTTCAGAAGGGACAGAAATTTGTGAGGCGCAGAGCTCCACAGGCTGCCTTTGAGAGGGGAGCACAGAAGCTACATGACTTGGCTTACTGACTGCTTCAGGTTTGAAGAAACTATAGGGCATAAAAAGAGGAGCAGCCAACCATTATTTAAAAACCTGGTAACAGGAGGAGGTCTGGTTGAACTGCCCTTTCCCGGCCACTGCTTCTTGCTGAGAGAACCTCGTGTCTCCTTAGCCAGGCAGTGGGTGAAATCAGTAAAACCCAAGTATGAGCAAGTGCAGAGCTCCCAAGTCAGTGGCATTGGAGATTTTATTTATTCCTGGGTTTATTAGAATGCAAACCCCCGAAACTTTAACATGGGTGAAAGTTGAGGACAAATAATTAGTTTTCATTAAAAGCATTTGTAACAAAAAGCTCCAGACCCACATGACAGAACATCCCATCCCCTTGCAATAGCTGTGTTGTTGAATGGGACACAGTTTATTTTTATTTTGAGATGCTCAAAATCCTTCTTTTCTGAGCCTTATTACGTGCCTTTATGAAGCTTCTTGTTCTCTGCATTGAGAAGCATTTGTCCTTCTTTTGTACAGAACCCGTGGTTCCGGAAATCACGTTTTAAAGGAGGAAAAGGCAAGAAGCTGAATATTGGCGGTGGTGGCTTAGGATACCGTGAACGTCCAGGTCTGGGATCAGAAAATTCTGTAAGTAGAGATGCTGAAGAAGTTGTCTACAGATTCTTGGAACTTTTAAATTTAGCATTGACTACTCTTTAATTTTAAAAAAAATTGTCTTAGTACTGGAGTATAGCCTCTGCTTTCAAAGGTTTTCATAGCTCGGAGAATTTAAAAATTTAGTATTAGGAATGTGTCAGGTGAAACTGTCCTGTGCTGTTATGCTGTTGTCAAGAGCTGCCTTCTTTAGGGCCAGAGTGATCCAGAAGGTTTGAAGATTTTTCCCAAAATAGACTGTCAATGCAAAATAAATGTTAATAAATTACTTGAAAAGCCATTTCCAGGCTGATTCTTGTCAGCAAAAAATCTTGCAGCATTAGGAACGCTTCCCAAGGTATGCCCATGCGAGGAAAACAGCTCGTTGCCAGTGTGTATGGGGACAGAGTTTAACTGCAGACATGTTGAAAACAGATCATGTTCAGCATCGTTCCAGAAGTCACGGCTGAAGCCTTGTTCACACTTTGTCTTGGCTGTGGCCTCTGAGGAAATCTCAGTTTGATTGCATTTTGCTTGTGCGTGTACTGCAAGGAGCTGGGACATGTGGTTGAGCAGTGAGTCACTCAGACTTGCTGCATCTTTTCTGTCCTCCTCAAGGTCGTGGGGCAAACTGTTTTGCTGCTCAGCGCTCCCCAGAAGTTTGTCATCCTGAGTAGATGTATTTCCTGAGTGCGGGGTCAAGATAGACCCAAAGAGCAGCTGAACTGAAAGGATCTGTGTTGGATCAGTCTCTCCAGTTGCCCTTTGTCTTTTTGTTTAGGACCGTGGAAACAACAACAGCGTGATGAGTAACTACGAGGCGTACAAGCCATCCACCGGGGCGATGGGAGACAGACTTACGGCAATGAAAGCAGCTTTTCAGGTTGGTTCCATCACTTGTACTCCCAGTTCTAACTCAAGAGGAAAGACCTTAACACTGAAAAATTTTACTACTGATTATTCAAGACAATTTATTTTTTTTTTCTACCCTGAAAATGCGGAAGGCCTGTTGACTTGAGGACAGTTGAGTTTGGTGGTTGTGGCCATGTCTCATCCACTCGGAGCACGCACTGAGTGTTGCAGCGCAGAGTGGAAGCATTAGTATGCAGGCTGGACAGAACATGGTTGCACAAAGTTAATTTGCCAAACTTATTTTCTTTTCTTCTGCTTCTTTG